GGACCTCTTGAGAGCTAGCAATTAGGATGGGAAGTTTGGTATTGTGATGCAAAAGAGTTTATCTTGGGTCTTGGGATGTTAGATGAGTGAAAACAATGAACTAAAAGAAAGAAAAAGAAAAGAAAAGAAAACCATTAGGATCAAAAGAAAAAGAAACAAAAGCTCTAGAAACTTCAAATAAGAAACCCCTTAGGGTAAGAAAAGAAAGAAAGAAAAGAGTCTAGAAAAGACTTTGGGGAAGACATAAGAAAAATAAGAGTAGAGCTTAACTAAAAAGTGAAAGAAAAAGTCCCTAGTTGGTTCAAAAGAAAAGAAAAGAGAATGAGTTCATTGGGTTAGTGAAATAAGAGAGTGATCTTAATGTTTTTGGGAATGAATGGGTATGAAATTTACACCAAGGAAAAGGGTAGAGTTTAAAGTTGTCTAGGAAAATGGTAGATTGATAAGAACAAGCAATGTATGCATAAGTTGCTCCTTTTCTTAGATAGATTTTGCATAATGATCAAGCTTCTATTCTTGAGTGTAAGCCACTAAAAAGAAATGTATTGAAACCCCTCTTCTATTCTCAATTGGCCATTTCACTTACCAAGACAAATGATTGAGATCAAGTTTCCATTTGCAAGAACTCACCTTATTAGCCTATGCTTAATTGAATGTGAGAGTTGGTTGAAGAAATTTGTTGATTGGTGATCCACAACTTGTCTAAAAGAAAGAGTCTTGCTACGCCTTGTTAAGATAGAGTGTAATAATTGAGGTTTCTTATGCTATTGGTTATGTTTGTGTAGGATGTGGTTTTGAGTTTAAGAAGTATATCTTTTGGTTTTGAGCTCCCATTTTCATTCTCTCTCCCTTTGATCTTAATTAATTATTTGAGGACAAGTAAATGAGTAGTTTGGGGGAGTTGATACGGTGCATATTTACATAGTTTTAGCATTTCATTTTGTACTTAAATCATCATATAGATTTAGGTTAGACATCTTTAGGATCCATATTGCATTCATAAGTCTTTCTCACGTGTTGGAGTGTCATATTGAGCTTTTGGAGGTGTTTAGAGATATTTGTGATGCGAAAGGGTGAAAGATGAACATGTATGGAGACCTTGAAGATATCTTTTGAAGCTCAAATTTTGGGAGTACATGGGAAATTGTGTTAGCTTTCTGATGAAAGCGGTTTCAAGTCATTTGGAGATGTATTGGAGGAGTTATGATCAATCTACTAAGCGCAGCGACCAAAGTACCCCGCTCTGAACAGGACACACCCGGGAAATTATATGTTCCAAGTGCCAGAGCGGGTGTGTGGGAGCGACCCATCACACCCGCTGTACATTGAGCGCGTCCTGGAGCGGGGTAGCGCAGCGACCCATCACACCCGCTCCAGAATTTTTCTTTAGACGATTTTTATGTTTTGTTGGGCATGTTCAGCTTGTTGACTGAGCTCATTAGGGTTTTTAAGAACCCTATTAATACATTTTAGACCCTAATAATGGGGGCATATTCTTTTCTCTCAAACACACATTAAAAAATTGAATCCTTGATTAATATAAACTTTGTTTCTTGAGTAATTTGAGTCTATCTCTTCTTCTAATCATGATTAGTCTTTTATCTATCATGGGTTTAAGATTAAACATGAAGATTAGTGAGTAGACTCTCTTGAGCTTATGGATTAGGGTGATTAGGGTGATTAAGTGATGATCTAGGGTGATTAGTGTTAGATCCTTCTTGTCATATACTTATTACTTATTCCAAATGCTAGATTAGACCTAATCCTTCTAAACTAGATCATTAGGTATTTTCTGCCTACAAGGTGTATGATAAAATGTCTGAACCAAAGTAATAATGCTTTTTGCTTGCTTAACCAAGGATACTTCATGTTAGCAAGGCTTAGATGGTTAGTAGACTTGTTCTCAATGATTGCTTGACTGATTTAGACCAATGACCATTTGTGTTTAAAGATTGATAGCAAATGAGCTTTTACCTGACCAAGGACTAGCTAAGAATTGTGTCTAGACCTATAGGATATGAGTGATTGCTTGAAACCTCACCCTAGATAGTAACTAGATCACCCAAAGTCAATACCCTTATCCATATGCTCTTTTATCTCATTGAAACCAAAGCTTATTTATTCTTGTTTACATATTGCTTGTTACTAGTTACTTATAAAACAAACCCTCATTGATTGCATTTAGATTAAGCAATGTCTTGCATTCTCTTTGTTCAATAGCTCTCAGAATTGGATTGACGCTCTACTTACTTTATTACATTGATTTGCTCTAAGGAATAAAAACTCTTATCACCTTTGTTGCCTGGAGACAGATATCTGACAACATTATGATAGCCCAAGAGATGTTTCATGCCTTAAGAACAAAACCGAGTGGACACAATAAGAGGATGACTATTAAAATAGACATGAGAAAGGCATATTATAGAATGGAATGGTCATTCATTGAGGCCACCATGAGAAAGATGGGATTCTCAGAAGTCTGGATAAAATGGATAATGTGATGCGTAACATCAGTAAAGTACAAGGTCCTCATGAATGGCCAGCAAAGAGGGAATATCGCCTCGGAGAGAGGTCTACGACAGGGGGATCCTCTGTCCCCATCATCTTTATTCTGTGCACGGAAGCGCTCGTTAGCCTTCTAAATCATGCAGAGAATCAAGGGAAGATAACGGGGATGCGTATCACGCGTGCGTGTCCTTCGGTATCTCACCTTCTCTTTGCTGATGATAGCCTGATCTTTTGTAAGGCGGAGCTCCATGAATGTGAAGAAGTAATGAGAGTGGTCAAAAAATATGGTCAAGCCTCAGGACAATGCATTAATTTTGATAAATCATCTCTACTCTTTGGTAAGAGAAAATGACAGGATGTTAGGCAAGAGATTAAGGACACACTTGGGATACAGAATGAAGGAGGGATGAGGACATACTTAGGAATCCCAGAGGATATCGGTGGATCTAAAAGCAAGCTTTTTGCCTTCTTAAAGGATAAGCTAAGGATCTAGAGTGAATGGATGGATGGGTCCGTGGCTATCAAAAGGTGGCAAGGAAGTCATGATTAAGTTGATCTTGTTAGCACTCCCGACGTATGTGTTGTTTCCTTCTTCTATTGTTGATTTGTGGTGCTTTAGCTAGTGCCATTGCACAGTTCTGGTGGAGTTCGAATCCCCCAAAGAGAGGTATTCACTAGTCAACATGGTATAAGTTATGCTTATCTAAAGAGGAAGGAGGGATCAGGTTCAGAATGATTCATGAGTTTAATCTGGTGATGTTAGCAAAGCAATTATGGAATTGGTTCAATACCCAGATTCACTGGTAGCTCGAGTTTTGAGAGATCGGTATTATCGATCAAGCTCGCCACTGCGAAAATTTACTGTCAGTAGCCCATCGTATGTGTGGACAAGTATAGCAGCGGCACGAGAATTATTATTGTTGGGGATTAGACATAAAATACATTCGGGATATGAGATAAGAGTATGGGAGGATCCATGGATCCCTACCACTCCAGCAAGATCAGCGGTCCCATCTGTACCGGTTTTACATCCAAATATGCGAGTGAGCACCTCATTAACCAAGAAACGAGGTCTTGGTATCTAAACCGGCTGGAGAACTACATAGATGCAGCTGACATACCACTAATAAAGAGCATGGTGATTAGTGTAACAAATCACAGAGACACGTATTGCTGGAGTTATACAAGAAATGGACAGTACACAGTCAAATATGGATATTAGGTTGCAAGAAATATACTGAAGAGGGAGGAGGAAGCAGTAGTTTATGAACCTAGTATCAAAAAACTCCAAGCACATGCTTGGAAGTTTAAGGCATCCAAGAAGATATATCATCTTATGTGGCAAATAATAACAGGTCATGTGGCTGTTACAAGTACTCTAAATTATCGACATATGAGATGTGATATCCACTGTCCAAGATGTGGGGAGCCAGAAGAATCAGTTGCACATGCAATCTTTCAGTGCCCACCCGCAATGCAAGCTTGGGCTTTATCTTTTACGCCTTCCAGTCCTACCTTGTTTCAATTACAAAGCACATATGCGAATATGGATTATCTCTTCTGGAAGAAAGTGCCATAATGAAACTGGAAAATGCACAGGGACCCTTATCCTGGCTAATTTGGTATATTTGGAAGGCTCAAAACGATAAGCTGCTCAGAGGTATTGATAGAGATCCACTGGAGTTAGCCCGGTATGCAGAGAGTGAGTGCCAAGCCTGGTTCCAAGCAAATGAACAAATTATACTACCAGATCAAGGGAACATAGATATCGACCAGACCATAAGTCTAGGAGACATCTGTATAGTTGACGGTTCTTAAACACCTACAGCTCAATTCAATGAATGTGGATGGCTTTAGAGTGACTGCATGGGAAATAATCACCTAATGGGTATACGCAATTGTAGTAAATTGGAGTCTACTTCGCTCTCAGAGCTGGAAGCACTGCGGTGGACAATGGAGAATATGCTTCAACATTCGCCATGTCAGAGCTTTCGGACGGATTGCAAGGAGCTAATAGCGATGCTTAGAGACCCCACGACTAGTTAAGTTTCTCAACAGAGTTAGAAAAGATCATGATGCTGCGAATTTGTTTTCCAGACTTCAAGATATTCTATGTTCCTAGGACGCAGAATGGTGTTGCTGACTATTTAGCTAAATCTGCTCGATCCTTTTATCGAGATTTATTGTATGTTGGTTGTTTTATTATAGTCTGGCTTCCCAGACCACCTGAAGCTTAAGTACTAGATTAGCCGTTCGTTGTCAAACAAAAAAAGAAAAAAAAAAATATATATATATATATATATAACAAAGCTTATATCACTGTTTCTGAACTCACTCAATGATTATTGATCTAGTTTGCTTAGGTGTGTGACTTTGATCATATAAAATTAGTAATATACTCTTAATCTATAGATTATAAACGATTTCTAACAAAATAATATAACCACCTAATTTTATATGATTGTCAAAATCTAGACATTACGACTTTAACAAAGAGTACAAATGATTTAAGTACATTCCCAACAAAACCTTACTTGACTTGATGATACATATATATGTTATAGCCAGAAAACTATATGTTAAAATGTCTTAACACACAAAATATATTTTTGACCGAAAGAGATGGAACCAGAACATAGTTGCAAGAAATAAAATCTGACCCGAATTAAAACCAGAACTGGTTTTAATGCATAGAAGGGAACAATATTAAGAGAGAATGTGGGGATGAGATTCAGACTGAAGAGTTAATCTAACACCGTCTTTGAAAGAAGTTGGGGAGATCTCAAGTGTCTGAATCAGTTTACTTATGTCCATTGATATATCTGCTGGTGACACCACTCCTAAATCAACCTAGTTAAGAAAACAGGTCACACCCATTAACACTGCTTTACAACATTATTCTACAAGCGAGAGAAATTATTGGTGAAAAACACCATACCGATGATGCAGAAACATGTTTAATCAAGGAAAGATCGTGTCCTCTGACTTGTGCAACCACTTCCGCCATTTGAACACGAGAGAGTCTGTTCGGTCCACCAGCATTCAAAATTAGGCGCATCTGTTTATCACCTGAAGGAAGGTAACAACATGTTACATTTTCTTACTGAACTATGATACTCAGAAACTTATAATAATCTACCTGAGAGAACCCATCTGTCTATCAGTTTCAAGATGATGCTCACGAGATCCTTAACGTAAATGGGACAACGATACTCATCATGGAAGAAATCCACCGTGTCTCCCTTCTGTAAGACGCTATCAATCCACTAAAAAAAGCCAATTCAACATACTCAGAAGTGATCTAGCTTTGATAAAGTGTAGTGAAGTAGTATTGAAAGACACCTGAACTAGGAGATTCTTAGGGAGTGGTGATACAGTTTGAGGACCAATGATGATACTACTCCTCAATATAGCGAAATTTTGACATTTATCTCTGATGAGAAGCTCTGCTGCAACTTTTGATTTCCCGTAAACGTTCACCGCAAGAGTCTCGTCTTCTTCCTTGTAGAAAGACTTGATACCTTGATAAACTGATATTGAGACAGTAAACCCAATCAATAAAAAGAATAGAACGGTTGTGATAAAATCTTATCTTGTCTTAACCTTGATCAGTAGAGAGATGAATCAACAAGGTTTTGTTTGTCTGAAAAGATGATAACCAGTTAACAAGGGAAAAGGGGACGTTGATGGAGATAGCGGAATCTGGATCTTGCTCACAAACACGAGGAATACACAGAGCAGCACAATTCACGACCACGTCGGGCTGTAATATAACAATAAGGGAAACAAATTGTCGATTTCAGACCAGAGACTCTCTAATAACGAGTTCTTGTTAGCTCAGATTCATCAAACCCGTTTTGAATCTGGAAGAGATCCAAGTAATTTATGACGAACCTGACCAAATTCCTGGGAAATGGAATGGAAGCCAAGACCGGTTTTGATATCGACAGGAAACGCGGAAAAATGAGGGAAAGCGTCGAGCAAGAGGTGGTAGAGAGGAGAGTGGTGAGTGAAAGCGACGTCGTAACGGTCTCCGGCGAAAGCTTGAAGAAGATGCTGACCCAAGTACCCCGTACCTCCCACAATTACCACTTTTGTCTTCTCCATTGTTTCTTTTTCTCCTATGTTTTCTTCCCAACTTAGTTTAAATTTTGACTCAGCAACCTAGAGAAATTCCTCTTGATGGAGATCGTGTCTGTATATACTATGATAGATTTTTGCTATGTATAGGATTTAATGGATCTGTTTTTATAAATAACTAGATTTGATCCGCACTTTCAAACCTCGATATTTTTTATTTTAATTTTTTCAAATAGAATGCTAATTATAAAATTATATGTTTTAATTTTTAATAGCATAATATAGGGTTAGACATAATATTCACACTTAAAAACCGCATCAAACCGATCAAAAATCAAGATACCAAGCCCAATTAGATCCGACCTAAATATCTGAACGGGGCCAATTTTTAAAACCTTAAAAGTCGATACCCAACATGTCTCTTGTCGAGAACCAAATGAATATCCGTACATTCTAAATATATATATATATATATATATATATTTTTTTTTTTTTTTTTTTTTTGTCAGTCGCCCATCTAAAACTAGGTCAAGTGGTGAGCAGACGAGTCGATCCCCCTAGGAGCATCTCCGTCTGTCCTAGTCTGATCTATATGGGAAAAAGTAGATCTTTTTTTTCTCGCCTCTTTAGCTAATCCATCCGCTCGACCATTCCCACTTCGAGGAATATGAGAAAGCCTCATATCCTCAAAGTCCTCCTGTAGTCTCCTAAGCCTCTTGATCTCTGTTGTGAAGGTTGACCATTCCTCCGGATTAGTAGACATGTCTACTAGATCCGCGCAGTCTGTCTCAATTCTCACCGAGTTGATCCGCAAGCCTCTCATACATGAGACTGCCCAAAGTAGACCTTCCATCTCTGCATGCAGAGCTGAACGGCTTCTCCTGCACGCCCGTTGTCCGACCCATTCATAGCCCATTTGATCCTTAAGACTCCACCCTAAGCCACTAACGCTGCCATGATCGATCCATGATGCATCAATTTGGCAGGTCGGGATTCGGGGGTTCCCAGAGGGTTCTGTCTCGATCTCCAAAGAGGAAGATACCTCAAAGGCCTCGTCGATTACCTCTCTCATGTTCGCTTTTCTCCAACATTCTGCCTCAAGAGACGCATGTTGGAGAGTATCCATTGGGGATACGACTTTCCCATTAAAGAGTTTGTCGTTCCTCGCCTTCCAGATGTACCAACAGATCCATGGGAAGGTGTCGAATTGTGGTCTCCGTGGAGCCACGTCTTTTCTCTTCCAAAAAAGGAAGTCTATATTTTGATATATAGAAGTACTCGGGAAGACACCTGGAATGGACGGATAGTCCGATAAAGCCCAAACCTGCATGGCAGGGGGGCACTCAAAGATAAGGTGGTTAATTGACTCCACTGGGCCAGCACATCTAGGACAACTCCTATCGGTGCCCAGGTGTCTATAGGTGAGTCTCTCTGCTGTCACCACACAGCCTGAGATAGCTTGCCACAAGAAGTGCTTTATCTTTCTTGGAGCCTCTATCCTCCACACATGGCTCTGGAGGCCTGTGATGCTCGGTTGCAGGACAAACTCTTGTGTAGGCCTTATTTTGTTCGATTGAAATAGGTCATAGCCGGTTTTAACTGAGTATACTCCTGTCTTTGTGTGGTCCCAAACATATCCATCCGGAGCAGACGAACATGAGGGTTTTAGCCCAAGTATCAGAGGTATATCGTCTGGCTGGAAATATTCTCGTAAAAGTTGTGTATCCCACTCCTTGGTATCATTCCTAATAAGGGCTTGAACCGGGAGACTGGGGAGTCTGTAGACAATATGATCGGCAGGCCTAGGTGGTCGGGCAACTGAGTCGGGGATCCAGTGCTCACTCCATACTCTCGTATCTCTACCCGTACCAATCCTCTTTCGTAGTCCCGAAAGGAGTAAAGGTTTTGCTGCCATAATACTACGCCAACCATAAGAAGGTGAGTATGTACGTCGGTCTTCTAAAGGAGAGGTGTTGTAATAGTACCTCCCCTTTAGGACACGTGCCAATAATGAATTCGGGTAGTGTATCAACCGCCATAATTGTTTTGCAAGAAGTACTAAGTTGAAATCATGGAGGTCACAAAATCCTAGTCCCCCTAAATCCTTAGGGATACAGATTTCGTCCCATGATATCCAATGCAAACCTCTGCTGTTCTGTTTTGAACTCCACCAAAAATTTGAATTCGTGCTTCGTAGTTTATCAGTGATGCCTTGAGGAATCAAATAACATGACATTGGATATGTCGGAATTGCTTGGGCCACCGCTTTAATCTGGACCTCTTTTCCCCCTTTAGACAGTAATCTCGAAGACCAATTATTCACTCGTCCATTCAGCCGGTCTTGTACGTAAGAAAAGACGTTGGTTTTCGAACCACAAATCTGTTCAGTTAGTCCAAGGTACATCCCCATGCCTCCTTCGGCCGAGAATCCCAAGACCTCTTTTATCTCTTGTTTCTGAAGGTAGTGTACACGGTTCCCAAAGAACATTGATGATTTTTCCGCATTTAATCTTTGTCCCGATGCTTTACCATAAATGTCTATGATGTCTATGATCTCCTTGCATTGGCTAGCTTCCGCCTTGCAGAAGAAAAGACTATCATCCGCAAATAATAGATGGGAGGTCCTTGGGCTCGCTTGTGCCACACGAAGACCTACGATCTTCTTCTCCGCTTCCGCTCCATTCAACAGCGAGATTAAAGCTTCTGTACACAGGATGAACAAGAAGGGGGACAAGGGGTCTCCTTGTCTCAGGCCCCTCCTCGGTAAGATCCGCCCTCTCGGTTGTCCATTGACTAGAACTTGATATGAAATCGACGTGACACAACACATAATGAGGTCAACCAGTCTTTCATCAAAGCCCATCTTTAACATCAGAGCAGCCAAAAAACTCCACTCCACTCTATCGTAAGCTTTACTCATATCGGTCTTGATGGCCATAAAGTCTTCCCTACATCTTTGGTTTGTTCTTAGGGCGTGAAAGTTCTCTTGTGCTATCAGAATGTTGTCAGTGATCAAACGTTTAGCCACAAATGCTGATTGTGTCTCCGAAATCAGTCGGGGAATTAGCTTCTTAAGTCTCTTGCATAATAGCTTAGATATAATCTTATAACTAACATTACAGAGACTAATAGGTCTAAATTCTGACATTTCCCGGGGTTTCTTCTTCTTCGGAATAAGACATATATTCGTCTGGTTCAAAAGTGGATCAAAGCTGCCAGTCTCAAAAAAATCTTGTACCAGTCTAGTGATATCTTGCCGCATCTCACTCCAAAATTTCTGGAAAAGCTTACTAGTCATGCCATCCGGTCCTGGTGCTTTATCTGGGTTAATATCAAAGAGGGCTCTTCGAATCTCCTGTTCCGACGGTACCTCTAATAGTAACATATTGTCGGCATGAGATACTTTTTCTGTAATAAACCGAAGGGAGGTGTCAACCTCTGTCGGGGAGGAGGTAGAGAAGAGATCTCGAAAGTATTGAACCGCAACGGTCTCCACCTCGATTTCACTCTCTACCAACCTCCCATGTTTGTCTTTAATACTTATGATTCGATTATGTGCTCGTCGTTGTTTTGTAGTGGCATGGTGAAATTTTGTGTTTCTATCCCCATATTTATGCCATTGATCTCTACTCTTTTGTTCCCAGAAAGTGTTCTCTTCTTTAAACGCCATTATCAACTGTCGCCTCAAATCTTCTAGTTCCTCGGTCGTAGAATTTTCATCATCTTGGGCCAAATCAATCCTGTTTTTTAAATTTTCAATCAGGACCGCTGAGTTTGTCGGATTATTTTTTTTCCAAGTACTGATCTTGTTTCGACATGAGGTAACTTTTTGATGAAAATTCCGGACTGGAATGTCATCAAATTGTCCCCATCCCAAAATTACCGCTTCCTTAAACCCTGGTTTGCCTATCCACCTCTTGTCAAATCTAAAATTCTTCTTCTTGGTACATCGGGAGGATGATTGAATCCTTGTAAGGACTGGTCTATGGTCCGACCCCCATAGCTGTAAATATTCCACAATACTATGGTTAAACAGGTCGTGCCATTCCTCATTTGCCACTGCTCTATCAAGTTTGCATTTAACTTTTCCATTTTTTCTTTTTCCCACCCATGAAAACGAATTTCCCTTATATGGAAAGTCAAGCATTCCACAGTTTTCTAACATGATTCGGAAAGGGAGGAAATAACTCTCTGAGCGACGTCTTCCTCCCCTCTTCTCATGATTGCCTGTGAGCTCATTGAAATCTCCAATCATAAACCACGCGCCAGTACGGGTTGTACTCATACGTGACAGTCGTTCCCAAACCAAATCGCGATATCTGATATCAGGTTCTCCATACACAAATGTCATAAAAATTGCATGTCCTTCAAGTCTAGTTTCAATATCGATCATATGCTCATCCGCATATAAAATACGAACCGAGGGATCATCCATATAAAAAAGCGCTAGACCTCCGCTTCGACCCACCGGATCCACGGTACAAACATGGTCATATCCAAAAGAAACTTGCACATCTTGCATAAAATTCCGATTGTTTTTAGTCTCCGACAGAAATAAAAATTTAGGTAAAAACAGTGAAACAGCTCATGTAGATGCTCCTTGGTCAAGAGTGCTCCCGCTCCTTGACAATTCCATGCGATTGTATTCATCTCAATAACCGATATTTTTAAAGCGCCAGAGAAATGGAATGCAAACACGTGACTGATGAAAGCAATGATTTTTTTTTTGGTTTATAGAAATAGTTGTATATTGTATTTATTAACACCAGAAAACTCTAATGTGATAAACCAAAAACAAACTACTCTGGATGTGGATCTGTGATTCGTGGATAGAGATCTAGTAGAGATCTACAAGAGTAAAATAGCTAAAAGAATTGGCCTTTCCAAGATAAACTTGAATATGACTTTTGAGTGGTCAAAAAGCTATATCAGTTCACAAGACATCGTCTTCTTCTTGCTCATGAGTGTGGTTGTTGTTCTTTTTCTTTTGAGTAAGATTCGCCATGGATACTCGTTGAAATGAGCTTGAAACAAAGTTCTTGGAGGTTATGTTTTCTTTATTGAGATGTGAAAGCCAAATGTTTTAGTCACCCACGACTTATAAACATTGCTGGATTTGTCAATAGTACATGAGCTTATAAGACAGAGGATAGAGGAGACGGACGTTGAGTGAACGATGAAGACGGTAGTTTCCAGAGGTGAGCTTTTCCGCAGAAGACCACCAGCAATAGCACAAAGGCGTTGGAGTAAGAGATGAAAGATTCAAACTTTAAATCTAAGAACACAAGTAGAGCGAGGATTGAACTTCGGTACGAGGTCAGGGAGGAGAGGAAAGCTTCCTTGGAGAAGGTTTTCAGCAAGATGGCCACCAGATATGGAGAAGAAAAGAACAAGGATTTTGGTGACTAAATTTCCCAGATCTCCCCCAAACTCTACAGCTGCCAAGAGAGAGAGAGATGATGGGGAAGAATCAGTGAGGGAAGGGCTACCGAGATCTGTTATTTGCAGGTGAAAAAATTGCCGGCACGGGAAAGCCGTACATCGGTCCGTACTATCGCCATTTACATCGTCGGTGGTCTTAGTGTTCAATTCATTTAAAAATAGTCTGATTTATTTCTAATATATATATATATATATATATATGTTAGTTATAACTATACTTATAATAATAGCAATAGCTAAAAATAAAATTAAAAATCAGTTATATTAGTTATTTTAGTTATTAATAGAAATGAGTGGTTTGGATGAATATACCCAAATCAGATTATAGCCAAGATTTTTAGGATAAGTTTAAATAGTTTGGATAGAAAATACCCAATTAAACTAAATTGGATACTTTGGTTATTTCAGTTAAAATTTGAAATCATCCGGAAATTTGAACATCCGACTCGAACCTAGCCTAATTTTTAATAATACAGAATGAGACATTTTCAAAAATATGAAGAAACTGATGCCATGCTTGTTGATATTTAAGATTTTCATAGCTGTTTTTTTGAATATTGTTTGTTGCTTAAGATTTAAATTCATGAATTAATTAATAGTCTAGTTATGACAATATCTTAAAATTATGAATACTATTCTTCATTTCGTAATTTACATTATAAATTTATTTGGACTACTTTAATATTCCATGGTCTTTGTAACTAAGAGAAATTATAGTGAGACATAAAATAGGTTTTTATAATGTGTAGTTCATATGTTAATAAAAAAGTTGCCAATATATAGTAGGATAGGTCACATATAAAAAACTCATGATTCCATACACCTAATGATAGTGTTTAATTTTCTTTTTAAACAAAAATGAGAGAATAAAGGGAAGGGGAAATTATAACTATTTTTATTTATTGGTGAAATTTATTTTTTAAGAATTCTAAAAAAAATAATGGCATGATATTGTAATTATCTCTAAAAAGTAAGGGTAGAATCTTATAAGGGATTCTGCTTTAATAGTATAGATATAATTTTGTGTAAATTTTCTTTTGTGTTAAGTTGGATATATAACACTATTAAAAACTATTAATAAAGTCTTCATCTAATGGGAGTCAAGTGTTTCGCCACGTCAGCGCCTCTCCTTCATTATTTGGGCTTCAAATTTCTACGGCCCGACAAGGTTGAAATTCGGAGAATCCCATGAAGCCCACACATCCTGTCCATCCTTTCTGATGTCGTACCAACCCTAATTTTCTAGATAGATTAGTGAAACCTTTTGCTCTTCCTCCTTCATTTCCGTTTCACGATCTGATCCACGATCAATCCATCCATCCTCCACTTTGTTTCTCCCTTAACTCTCATTTATGGATTCTCTTAGTTTTTCTCACGCTGTTTTATTTATAAAAATCCTAATCGGAGTTTTACTTCGATAAAACTTGGTCCTATATTCTCTTTAGTATATTGCGATTAGTTCCAACAGAAAATCCAAACTCGAAGAAACCAAAAAGCTGCTGAAAGGGTTTGTGGATTTGCTCATCCTCGCATCTGGGCTTCAATCTTCTGGTGCTCCCGCTTATTGGGACGCCGACAGCTGCAGGAAAACTCTACAATGGGGTCTATTCTTCGAAAACGTTGGTTCACTCTTCACTCTCAAAATCACTGCGTTGGTTTTTGTTTAATTGAGAATCATTTTTTTTTGTAGATGTTAAGAAACGTAAATAGTTCAGACCCATCTGAAGATGAAGCTGTGAGAGAGGTTGAGGAAGTTATGTCGGAGATTAAATCTAATCCTTTGTTCCCAAAGGTTGTGGCTTTTGGTTTGGATTATTACTATTTTTTTATCGTTTTTGAAACAAGAGGTTTGTTTTGATTTGCAAGGTTTGGAGAATCTGTCATTAGATAGTCTCTCAAAGGGAAAAGAGTTTGTTTCGGATCATTTGATGAATAACTCGACGTTGAAAGATAAACAACTCCAAGTTGTTCTGGTTGCAGCTGTGGAGTCTGGTGACGGTATTATGGATATTATTGATGGGAAGCTCTGTGAGAGGGAAGCTGTTGTGTCATGTGTATCACGGCTTGAGACAGGTTTGATGGTCCTTTCTAAACACATAGAGGTAAAAGAATTGCAACAGAAAGAAGCTAAGGATACAGCTTTGTTGGGGTATGTAAAAGCACGAGATATAGCATGTACTCTGATAATCTTTGTGTAATTTCTTCGCGACACTCCCAACAAGCGAATTCTTCGCTCACTGGTCAGTTCCAAAACCCGCATAGCACTTGAATTTGATTGTTTCGAATGAAATATTTTTAGAAATTTCCAGTTTTGGTTGCACTTCACCTTGTTCTACTTAAAACATTTGGAATTGGATCTTGAGTGGAATTCTATTGGAAAAGATTTGAACTTTATCATCTTATTACTATTTTTCTACTCATATTTCTACACGCTGAATGCATAATAATATAGTATTGATACGTGTATCCTTTGATTTGATTCTAGGTGTCCCGGCTGTAGAAACTAACAAGGTATAACTTAACTATTCAGCATCCTATCTTTGGCTCTTCTCAGGAGTTTTTTCATTACCTAAATCGTTACTCTACAGGACAACATCCTCATTATGAGAAGGTCGCAAGGCTCTCTAATGGACCAGATGCAATACATCCCGGAATCGTTTTGATGACGAGAGTTGATTGTGCAATGAAGGTACTTTCTTCATGTTCCTAATTTACCTATGAAAGAATCTTGTTGGATTATGTTGATTCACTGTTTCTGATGTTACACTTACATATGATCATTTATTACTTACCGTGCAGCGCAGTCGAATACCAAGTTCTGTGACAAGTTCCCTGTGTTGCATTACCCAAATGCTCTTTTGGGGTCATCCTAAGTTTGTCTCTGGCAGTGAGGAACCTAAAGCTTGTTATTGATGACGCTTACACAGTTGAGTACACAAAGGCTTGTGCCTTCGGAATCTTATCTTCAGTATTGGCACCAAGTACTAAGTATATGTAACAAAGACAAACTTTGTTATATCTTTGAAATGTATCTATATTTCCGCTGAGATAATATCAAGTTCTCATATACTTATCTATGTTTTGTTTCTCAATTTTTTGTAGTTCTTATGGCTTGGATGATAAGAAATTCTAAAATGATCATGTCCAGTCTAATAAAAACCAGGTTTTAAGACTGCTCTCTAACTAACTTTTCTGATAGTTACTAGAAGTGTTGCTTCTAGGTCCAAACAGCTTAGTGATAACCGTATGTTGGTTTTTCACAGATTTCTCAGGCTATGTATGACGTTGAGGAAGCAACCACAGAAGCTTTTGATATAATTTTGTCACTGAAGGTAGAGATTTATCCGAATGATTTTTTTGTGTTTGTTTTACCTTCTTTCCAACACTCTGTTTTTGGTAATCAACAAGTATATCATCCACTGCCATTAAATCATCTGAAACATGAACTAATGCGGAAATCATCTGATAAGTGCGTCATTTATTAGATTTATCCAGCTTCTAACAGCACATCATGCTTCCAGGAGGTAAATAAAAGTCTCATCATCCTAATGTAATGTCTACTCTGCGTTTAGATGGTTACCCTCCACACTATCTGTATCTTATATTCGATAGGTGTCGGAAGGGAGCGGCAGAAGTACTAGAGTAAGAGAACTTTGAGATTGGTATCGGGAGCCAGCTTGATATTTTCTGCACCGAGAGCTCAGTGGGCAGATGTGTTTAGACGGTTTCACGTTTCAGAACAAAGAAGCTATATTCATGGAAAAGATTGTAAGTTGATTTGCTAACGAAAGTAAAATTTCCTACCTCCTAAGCAAATACAGAAATCTTCATTGTTTTTACTTTTTCACATGTTAACAAAAGTTTTCTTAACATTAGGTATCAGAACACGCCTCAAGGTTTCCTTAGCTAATAGCATACTGGACCTGTGCTCTTTCTCCATCAAGTTGGGTCTTTGTGTCATGGTATGTCTCGGTTGAGTTTTGAGATTGTTACTTTTGAAATATATGTGGATGTACCTGAAATGATGAGCTTTGGTGTGTAGATATCCAATACAGAATTTTATTATTAGCTGCTTATGTTCTGCTCCCAGCTTCTCCTAGACATTGAAAGGGCTGCCTTCTTCTGATGCAAGAGTTTAGCTGCTTTCTTACTGTTTGTATATTTTTCTTCCTCATAGGCTCATCAAATTTTGAGTTTGGATTCTATATGTAGTTTCTATATTCTCATACCCACATGCTTATATTGGTTCTACATGGAATGCTGACTTTCACATAAATATATTACTTCTGTTTGTCTCTACTAGACATTGACTTTTGATCTAAAAATGTTACAGGCTGAGAAAAATGCATTTGTAGTCTTCTATTCTAGGGAAAGAGCTAAAAGCAAAATTCTGAAGATATGTGAAACTTTTGGGGCCAATCGCTATCCCTTCAGCGAAGAACTTGGAAGAAGAGCTCAAATGATGACTGAGGTATGTATTATCTTTCGTCAGTGAGTTTGGTGTATTATCTTATGTGTAATAGTCATGTGTCTTAACTGTTATTTATTTTAAGAGAAAGCTGGTGATGTTTAATTTAATATAGGGACTAACTCACTTTGATGAGATTCTACAACAAGCTGATGGAATCATTCTTTCTCGTGGAAACTTGGGTATTGATTTATCCCCAGAGAGGGTATGTTGGTTTGGTCATTCAAATTGTTTTCTTTTTCCTATACCAAACTCTACAGTCTTTTGTAATTTACTTTGTTGGGTTCCTGTGTAGGTGTTTTTATTTCAGAAGGCGGCTCTGTACAAGTGCAACGTGGCTGGAATTGGTGTTTAGTCAATACATCGACACTCTAGAGCTGATCAGGGACCAGATCAGTGCAATATTTGGCTGGACTGAAGGAGAAGAGATCCTCTACATGCAAGGTCAACTTAAACTAACAATAAGACAGTATCTGATCAACAACTTCAACAGACCAGACAGTAAATCTAAAGTGCTACTAGCATCAACAGGAGCGTGTTCAGAGGGTATTCATCTGGTTGGCGCTTCGAGAGTTGTCCTCCTCGACGTTGTTTGGAAACCCTTCTGTTGAGCGGCAAGCCATAAGCCGAGCATACAGAAAAGGATCTGTGCTGAGTCAGAGAAGGTTTTCCATCATGATTTATACTTTAAGAAGACCGTCATGTTTGTTGGCGAACCGAAGACTCACCTTGAATCCGTTGCTTCTTCAGCTGTAAGTTTTGTCTTCTCTATTGCAAAGACATAAGAAAGTATTAGATTTCTGGTTTTAAAAGTAGGTTTTTTTTTTTTTTTGTCAATCAAAGTAGGTTTTTATTCAAAATATATGAAGATACGGATTACACTTTACACTGCATATAGTCTCAGTTCACAAAAAACTTAAAGATGATGAGCATGAAAACGTTGTGAGCGTCACAGGTAAAAACCGGATGAAAACATAAGTCAACATTTACCCCTTTCAATTTCAACGAGATTTCAGGTGCCTTTCAATGAACAAGTCACAATGTAGAATCTTTTAGTTTGGTAGAATACAAAATAAGCATGTGAAATAATGATTTGGTCGAATGTGTAAAGTTGGGTGAAAAGTATAGTTGTGAATATAATATCTAGAAATGGAAACATGGAACACAGTTAGTCAAAGAAAAATGAAAAGTAAAATAAAATTGAGGAATAAAAGTCTTCATAGGAGAACAAAAACAACTAAAACCAAGAATAAAACATTATTAAACTAATTCAAATGGGACACAAAATACCAAATTTGGTGTAATCTCATCCTCAATGGAATACCATAAATGACATTATTCCGCCAAATTTGGTTTAGGATAGTGTAACACTATTCATCACACCAAATATTTTATGGGAAAATTGCCAAATATGACTCAAAACTTGATTTGAAATGCAAAAGTAAACCCAAACTTGAATCAAATGCAAAAGTAACTTAAAAGGCTATTGAAATTACAACCAACTCCTTGTGAACAAACAAAAAACGCGAATTTTTTTTACGTTTCTAGCCCTCGCAAGTCGTCTGCCCAGACGACTTTAAAATAAGTCGTCC